TCTCCCGTTTCCCCCGTCTCCCGTTTCCCCCGTCTCCCGTTTCCCCCGTCTCCCGTTTCCCCCGTCTCCCGTTTCCCCCCGTCTCCCGTTTCCCCCTCCTACCGTTCCCCCGCTCTCCCGAAACTTTAAGTCCCCCGATTCATCCATTCCTCATACATATCTCTCGCGTTATTCGCTCACTTCCCTCTCCCACCTCGTCTCTACGATTGTTTGAACTTCGTTGCTCCCAATGTTGCCTGTCCCCTAATGAAACGAAGTTGAGGAAAAACCGAAAATCGGCATTGTGACGTACACCCGCTAATGGTCTACGGAACAAAACCCACAGAAACCTCCCACAGACCCTTCCGGACTTGCAGCCAAAACGTGGAAAACCTTTGAAGTTTTAAAGAGCTACAACGATACAAGTGTACAAACACACAGATTTATATATAGAGAAGAAGATTCTTATTACTCTATCGGTTTGGTTTGGTCTCCTTGGGGCCGATCCTCAACAAAGGAGTGGGGAGGCGTCCTACCGGGCGAAACCACGCTTTCTCCCACCGTCATCCCTCAATTTGGCAAAATTCGCTGATTGTCGAGTTTTCGCGGTGACGTTGATGGGCAATCTCAAGCCTCAAGCCTCATGACACTAATGACTCATGAATCATGAATGACCAATATCGGATCGTAATCTATCTGGGAATATTTCCGTGAGGAGCTGTCGCTCGGAATCAGCGGCTCGAAAAGCACCGACAATTCCAGGGATGAGGTACCTGGATTCCCAAGCGGAAACATTGACTTCGACCCCCTCCACTTTTTCTGCTCGCAATCATCTCGACAATCTACGTCGTGCGATTTCCATGACCAGAAGATTCGAGGTGAGCCTCGTAAGAATGATTGTGAAGCTCCCTAAAATCAGGCCTCTCAGCGCCTCTCCGGAGCATTCCGCCCGCTGACCGGGGCTTGAGCCCCCGCTTTCAGGAGAGACCCTCCTGTCCATTGGACCCCGGAACTGGCTCCCTGGCAGCTTGCCCGGAGATTTTCGGAATTTCAGCGGTTCTTCTGGAAAAAGTTCCGACCGGCTGTCGCGAATTGAGGAACAGAAGCTCACTTCCCGATTCCGCGAGCTGCTTTCTCAGTCCGAACGCAACACGAGACTGACCGGAGATACGCCGAGCCGAAGCTCTGTCGGCTCTATATTTCTTTTTTTTTCGCCGCGATAACCAGCTTGTTCGCCTCCAAATAAGTAACTGACCCTTCGACTTATTTAGCACACCGAACGCCCGTGGAGCGACCTTGGATCACCTACGGCAGAGATGGATTACGCACGTTCGCACTCACTAAAACATAACGCTAAAGGACACGGATCATCAATGGCAATATTCCAGAAAAAAACTCGAGTGGAAAGAACCGCTTCATCCGGTCCGAGAAAACTTCATGGGACTCGATTTCAGGGAGGCTTGTCGTTTCCAGCAATGCTCAGCTTTCGATGTATATTGAAGACTCTCCAGTCGTCGCCAGATCCGGCTCACGATAGCCTAGCGCTCCAGAGCGCGCTTCTCGTTCGCCCGATGCACCATCTAAGCGGCATATTTCAAGTATTCTCTGATCATTGTCGGCTTCGAATGGGTGCGAAGCAGCTTCCATGAAGTTGTTGCGAGAAGAGTGGGCAACTCGACTTTTTGACTCAATTTCTGAGATCCGGTGTGCGGAGGCTGCGCCAATCAGCTCAACGACCATTGAAGGTCCATCGCGTTAGGCTCGTAAAGCGAGCTTCGGCTCTGTCTGATCCTTCCTCAATGATTTAGATTATTCCCGAACGAAATGAGCGGATGATCGTCCGGCGATGCGATTCTCGATGACCGACAAACGAAAGTCCGGAGAAATTTTTCCTCAAACGGCGGGGCGAATTCCGCTTGGATTCGAAGGTTCCCGAGTGTCGCAACCGCACATTTTCTGCAAAGGCAACTCGAGGCATTCCCTGCTTTCGCCCGTCACGCGATCCGACATGAGGCTTCTGTTGTTCGAAACATGTGGAGAACTCTGTTTTCTCAATGTATTGAATAATAGCCGCATGAGAAGAGATTCCGGCCTGCCCGTGTTTTTCACGCGGAGCTGCCGTTGAAAAAATTATTGTCGCCTATCATCAGCAGTCAGGAGAAGCGAATGCTACTTGCGCTGCCACAGATCTCGCGACAGTCCGAGCATTCGAACTCAATACTTGCAGAGTCCGAGGTTAATCCCGCTCCAGCACAGCCAAGAAGCTCGGGAATCTTGGGCATGGACAAGGAATTGGAACATGTCACCGTGAAGTTTCCTCCTCGTCACGTAGTACGCGGCGATGACAGCTCAAGTCTTGGGCGATTTATGGAATTCGCTTCTCATGGCAACAAATCACTGTATCACGCACAGGAACC